CTTTCCCAACCCAGACATAGATAGCGGAGGGAACATGAACAATGAAAGCCCCACGCGAATCAAGAGCGCGTGGGGAAGGGTGGTAAACGGTCTTGGGAACAAGGTGGAGAGGGTCATAAGGAGAGTGCGGGGCCATCCTATACATCCTGAGAACAGAGCTAGGACTCACCGGCATAGCATGCACCCTCTTCTGACACTGCAAGAGCTGGCAGGCGAAACCCATGTTAGGGTTGGTGACGCCACGCGCGTTTTTGACGTAGTGAAAGGCGTCCTCGAAGCTTTGGCCTTCCCTCCACATGAGATAGGCGATGACAAGGGAAGTGGATCGCGACACGCCCTGGCAGCAGTGTACGAGGACGCGGCCACCCTGCTGCCGGACATCCTCGAAGTAATCGAAGACGTCGTAGAGAATGCTGGTGATGTCCTCGGAGGGGCTGTCCTGGAGCCAGAGGGTTTTGTACACGAAGTCCGTTTTAAAATACTCGGGGCACACGAACCCCACGCAATTCAGCACGTGCGTGATCCCGTGCCGCCGCAGAAGCTCCTGGCTCTTCGCCACCGTGTCGCTGCCGAGGTACACGTGCTCCGCGATGCGAGAACATTCCTTGTCGTAGAACGCCAGCTTGTCCCTCTTGAACTGGAATACCTTGCCCCCCGAATCGGATGGGCACAGCTTCGTCGACCCTCTTGGCGTCGCCGGCGGCAGCCACTCTCCGACATCGTCGCAGCCCGCGCTCGGCCAGTCCGCCACGCCGGTGCGCCTGTCGATGGCAAGCGGCTGAAGCGGGCGCGGCGGCTTCCGGGTCCGCTCCGCCCAGGAATGCGTTCTCCTGTGAGCGACGGGGCGGTCCTTGCTGGTATCCTCTCCACCCAACATGTAAAAACTTTAATTGGGTTTGAAGGCCATGAAGGGTTGGGAGTAGGGACTAGGGAGTAGAAAGCATAAGCTGAGAGGGGGGAATGTGCATGGGGCTAAAACAATTGAAAGAAAGGTTGGATCTTGCAGAGGGTAGTGAAGAAGGGTGGTGGACATGGTCCTTCAATCTGACCAAGACATTCATATAGGCCGTCAAAGTGCCACCTCAGATTGGATTCTTTTTCTCAAAAATAATAATAATACTGTGCCTATTTAAATCTGCATTTATTGAATTAATTTTTGTTTGACTTCCTTTCTCTCTCGCTATTAATTCTATTATCAGTTTTAATGTATTTATGATTCCATTTTATTTAATGTTTAAGATTTTTTTAAATGTACTGTCACAAAAAAAATACTTTTTTATAAATGTTTCTGTAAAATAAATAAATAAATATATAGTATGTATTGAGAAATATTAATCAATGCTTATATTTTTATAAAAATTATAATGCATTTTTACCATACTAATTATTTTTATATTATATATATATATATATAT